CTCAGGTTTGTACCTTTGGAATGCTCCATATTGAACTAAATCATTTTTAGGGGAGGAAAAGGGCTCTGGTGTGGAATACAAGGACTTCCTCTTTCAAGCTCAACTTTATAAATTACTCATACTTGTGCATTATTGTCTTATGAATTTTTATCTGCTGTTCAACCCCTGGAAATACAGAAAAACCTGGACAGATCAAGAGCCCCCATATCAACGCCAGCAGGATACTTAGGAGAGGGAGAAATAGTAGGCAAAAATATGTTGATTAAAATTAAAACTTTTTGTGGGGGATTGTAAATTTTGGAAAATGTTTATAAGGTTTCCCAGAGTTCAAGAGGTTTAAGAACCAATAGCAAAGAATGAAAATATCAGAAAAATAGTTAGGTTTTAAATGCACAGAAACACCTTATCAGACTGTTAATATCTCTTTAAAATAATCTCATATTATTTACTAGGTACACATTGGAATCCATATCATTCAGTGTCTGATTTGATATGAGTGGTTTTATAGCACTGAGCACTGATTAGCTGATAAGAGCAATAAGCTGTTTTCATACTTATGCGGAGTCTTGATGTCTGCTGTTTCACAAAATATTAGATTGTTGTAAATGCATGTCCCACTCTAAAATCCAGACTATGGCGTTTTAAAAAGAAATATAAGTGACTAAAAGCATTAAAATGTGTAACACAACACAGTAACATAATTATATGTACCATGGGATTGCAAGCCCACTTCTACCTCAGAGGACAGCTGAATAATCTTTTCTGTGCTCTCATGATTGATAAAAATAAAAAGTTAATAACTATTGACAGCAGAAATAAGAAAATATGTTTGTCCCACATTCATTGCCTTAATAAAGATTCTAGAGTGAAGTAAGAACACCAGCAGGTTAGTGGAGATTCTTACCTTTTCTTGATTAAACAATCTGGCATATTCAGCAGTGCATTTGTAGCTTGGTTAATACAATTCATGTCGTGCTGTGCCGTGCCAAGCCAAGCCAAACCAGCCCATGAATGCAGGAGAGTATAGTTCTGATGTCAAAAGTGACTGTAAAAATATGATCATAGAAGATAAGGGTTGGAAGAGATCTCAGGAGGTCATCTAGTCCAACCGCCTGCTCAAAGCAGGACCAACACTAACTAAATCATCCCAGCCAGGGCTTTGTCAAACCAGGTCTTAAAAACCTCGAAGGATGGAGATTCCACCACCTCTGTAGGTAACCCATTCCAGTGCTTCACCACCCTCCTCATGAAATAGTGTTTCCTAATATCCAACCTAGACCTCCCCCCACTGCAACTTGAGACCATTACTCCTTGTTCTGTCATCTGCCACCACTGAGAACAGCCGAGCTTCATCTTCTTTGGAATCGCCCTTCAGGTAGTTGAAGGCTGCTATCAAATCCCCACTCTCTCTTCTCTTCTGCAGACTAAACAAGTCCAGTTCCCTCAGCCTCTCCTCGTAAGTCATGTGCCCCAGCCCACTGATCATTTTTGTTGCCCTCTGCTGGACTCTCTCCAATTTGTCCACATCCTTTCTGTAGCGTGGGGCCCAAAACTGGACGCAGTACTCCGGATGTGGTCTCACCAGTGCCGAATAGAGGGGAATAATCACTTCCCTCGATCTGCTGGCAGTGCTCCTACTAATGCAGCCCAATATGCCGTTAGCCTTCTTGGCAACAAACTGACTCATATCCAGCTTCTCATCCACTGTAATCCCCAGGTCCTTTTCTGCAGACCTGCTTCTTAGCCAGTCAGGCCCCAGCCTGTAGCACTGCATGTGATTCTTCCATCCTAAGTGCAGGACTCTGCACTTGTCTTTGTTGAACCTCATCAGATTTCTTTTGGCCCAATCCTCCAATTTGTCTAGGTCACTCTGGACCTTATCCCTACCCTCCAGCATATCTACCTCTCCCCCCCAGCTTAGTGGAGTTCCATATTTCTTTTCATGTTTAAATGGCTTCCAATCCGGTGGTGCATAAAATTATGTTGTTTTGCTTTAGGGTGGCAATTTATTGCTTTTCATCTCTTAAATTTATTTTTAAAACTCTAATCTGGCTTTTAGAGTGAAACACGTTCACAATAATCTAATATTTTGGAAAATTGCAGATATCAAATGTACTCCTATTGCCAGTACAGGTTTTTTTTCCCCTAACTGCCACCTGTGCAAACTCAACCTTGGTTATTTAATGTCAAGCTGAAATCTTTCCTTGTGCATCATCACCAGTAGTAAAGGTTCTGCAGACCAGATTAGACTCTTAGTTACACCTGTACATCCCTATTTCCCTTAGTTGATTTGAACAAGTACTACTGATTAGAACATAATTACATTGATGCACTTGAGTACTGCCACCAGCTTACTACCTGTGGACATAAAATTATTATTGTACACACACAACCTTTTTCCGTTTTTACTACCACACCTTTTCAGGAGTTGTTCTCCAGGAAGTTAACCTGGAGACTTAGTAGCTTCCTGGTGATGTGCCTCCTCTGTTCTGCTTTTAATGTCTCGTGTGGTAGAGAAGGAAGAATGAGCAGTATTACTATGATTTCAGAACTCGGGGACACATGCCATGCTCAGCATCTCAGGGGGCACAGAATAGAAGGTACAACCTGGGAAGGGAAGGCAGAAGTAAAAGCAGCTGTACAGCGCCTTTGCGCCTCCCTAATTCTGAGCTGCTCTGATGGCCAGCTGTGGGTTGCTCTGTAACCTGGAATAGATGATGCACTTTACATTCTCTTAGGTATGTCAGAAAAAAGCTGTCTCTGTTAGCTATGCCCACCTAGCCACGCAGCCTACGCCAAGAGGAGTTTTTCTTCTCATCTAGGACCATCACCTCCCTGAACAACGTTAGCTGCATCAGTGGAGGCTCTCTTCCATCAATCTACATTGGAGATTTTGTTTGCATAACTGTTGATCGGGGTGGTTTTTTTTCCATCCCTGACTGACCTACTTGTGCCAATACAACTTTTCAATATAGACTAAGTATATTAGCTGCGTTTTATTAAGGTAGAGAATGTACTGATACCATTTCCTTCCCCGACTACTCATTGACAAAAATGTTCTACAGGTAAAGTGACAGGTCAAGAAAGGCAAATCATCTTCCTCTGCCTGAGCGTGGTGGTGTTATCCTTGTACAGTCCTTTCCTGTTAAGTTTATATCAAAATCAATGTTAATTACCTCTATATTAATCAATCTGTCTGAAAGCATGTCTTTGCAAGCCACGTGGGTGGCGATACAAATCTCTCGTCTAATGCAAATTAACATGCTGTGCAAGTAGAAGCCCATTTTGCTTTCTCATCTTTAGAGGATTTGTTTTTCTATATAAGATGGTTAACCTGTTTTTCCAGTTCTCAAAAGGCATGTAAGGTAGGGTAAAGCTTCTAAGTGTTTCTCCTCCCTTTGATATATCTTTGCCAATTATAAAAGCCGGCAAATAATTAATCCATAATAGGTTTGGTTTGCTTTTAATTGTAATATGGCAATTGATTTTTAGTTCAAATTTGACTTCTAATGGGACTGTGCTCTTGCCACTTGATTGAGAATAAGTCCTGGGTGGAGATTAGTGACATGGGGGGAGGAGGAGGAGGAAAGCAGAAACTTGTGTGCAAAGAGCTGCTTCAGAGAGGCTCTGCTGCTCCTCAGGGCTGTATTTCAGAGACCCAGCTGTATTTAGGGAAGTCTCTCCCCTGTCCCAAGAATCCAGCATGGAGAAGCCACAAAGTGTCCCAGCAGCTACAACTGGATGGGGAGGCAGACAGCCATGTAGTTCAACCAGGAAAGGGAAGACACTGATGCTGCTGCAAGTTGTCACCTTCTGAACCTGCCAGAGAAGGCTCTCTCAAGGTGTCAGTGTCAGCAGGTTGGCCAGTGCCCACACAAGCCAGTTTCAACTGAGGGAAAGTAAAGAGGTGGCAGCCATCCCTGTTGATAAGCACAGAAGCACTAAAAAGACCCTAGCCCTTTGCTAGGGAGAGGCAGCAGCAAAATCACCAAAGTTGATTACAGCACTGTTATCTCAAGGTAGAGAGGTGGACACACTCTCCCCAACTTCCACCATTATTAGTTATTCTCAGTTGTAATGTTTCTGACTTTGTTTTGGCTACTTAATAAGCCAGCTAGCATATTTGAACAATTTTAATGGGGCAGGTCTCTATTTGAGATAGAACCAGTGCCTAAATACTGTTGCAATAGGTACTTTATAAATTGTTATACATATCCCATTTTAAAATCCTTAAAAATAAGGATTATCATCCAACACAGATACAGGATCTTAACTAGAACCATGTACTAAAAGAAAACATGCGTGTGAATATTACCCTTCAGTTTGTACTGTAGTTACATCCAGACGAACCAAATTTAATATGCGGAAAATAATCCTGCAATGATCGAATTGTGGGATTAGGATCTTCATTTGCATACCTGATATTTAGCAAAATGATATATGATCAGTAACAAATATATAAATATTGCAAAAATCTGAAGTATACTTATAAGACATCACAGGTTATTTATTGTTACAGGTGTGTGTAAAGTTACTGGCACCGTCATTTGCTGGATTGCCTACATATTCAGTATGTCACCGTTTTACACCCATTAAAGACAAGGTTGTGGATCTATGTAGATTCTGTAGTTCACGTTATAAACTGATCCTGTTATTGGGGCTTCAGGAGGTGCCACGAGTCTGCCTCTGCAGGCCCAAGTGCAGAACCAGGGCTTTAAATCCTATTTTTCCTAAGTGAATCATGATTAACTAATGGCAAAGGAAAGCAGAACTTTAGATTTCCTTGATCCAGACAGCACAGAACACTAACAGAGATGGATTCTGCGGTTAGGTCCATGATGTTCTTTTCTTTGTCTTTTAGTTTGCAAGCTTCTAAATTGTTTTCATTGGAAGTTTCATTTCTGAAATCTCATCTGAGTGTGAGACTGTTCATGCTGTACACCATGAAACTCTCTGTGCAAGTTTATAAATTTTGTGCGTCCCTGTGTATTCTTTTCTAGGCACGTTTTCCACAAAGCCTGCGTGGATCCTTGGCTTAGTGAACACTGTACCTGTCCTATGTGTAAACTGAACATTTTGAAGGCTCTGGGAATTGTAGTAAGTTACATATTTGTGACCTTTATTACATAACTGATACGGCCAGTTCAAGTAACTTCTTCACACAAAGTGCTTATAATAAGAAATCAATCACAGCAGGCATGGTGGGTTGGCAAGAGCATATTGCTCAGCCATGTTGGAGTCCTTCTTCCTGTGGTTTGAGTGTGGCCTCTGATCTGTCTTTTCAGCCAGAGGACCTCAAGTGAATATAGAGAGATTGAGTGCTCAGAGAATCCATTCTGCGAATACCAGCTTCTAGCTGATTCACAAAGAGACATTAGAGGATGATCTCAGAGGAGATCTTTCTCCCATTTTCCTGCATGGGTAGAAGTTCTGAGTGCAGTGGTGATTCTCAGGCAGATTATGTTCCCCATATAAAGGGGAAGGAAAAGCTTATGCCATGTCTATAGTAGTTCTCAGGTCAAGCACAGCAAGAGAGAAATCAGGCCCACATTCCTAGCTATGTCAAACTGCACAAACTTTCTAGAAATAACAGCAGATAACATATTGTAGGTAAGCTACTTTTGTAATTTAACATACCTGAGTTGATAAAGGAGGAAACAGTGTAATTTGACATGCCTTGTCTAAAACCTCTCACTATTGATGTAGAGTACAAAGAAATCGGTTTTTTGCCCCATGATAGTAAATTTCTTTACTGTTAAGAATATACTGTTGTGTATAGGTTCTGTGCCACCAACATATTCAACTCCCTCTCCTGAATTATAATGATATTTTCTGTACCTGTGTACAAAAGGGTTTAGCCTTTTTAAACAAAATGTTTGTAACTTACTACTGGAAAGCGTAGGACCAGCTTTCAATCATACATGGTGGTGGTGTAGCCTTGTTGGTCCCAGGATATTAGAGAGACAAGGTGGGTGAGGTAAAAGTCATAAGCTTTTGAGTTACACACAGTGACCTGAAGAGTTCAGAAATCTTTTCACCTACAGAAGTTGGTTCAATAAAGTATATTACCTCACCCACCTTGTCTCTCTATGATAGTTAGGCTTTTACATAATTCGGTGTCTTCTTTATTTTAAAAAAAAAATTAAGCAAGGGAGACTTTTGCAGGCTGCCTGTGTATAGAATAATTAACATTTTAATATGGAAATAATGTTTTTCCAGCCAAGTGTGCCATGTACAGATAATGTAGCATTTGATATGGAAAGGCTCACCAGAGGACAGCCAGCCAATAGACGATCAGGACTTGGTGACTTTGCTAATGACAACTCGCTCAGCCTGGAGCCCCTACGCACTTCTGGGATGTCACAGCTTCCACAGGATGGGGAAATAACTCCAAGGACAGGGGAGATCAACATTGCCGTAACAAGTAAGCATTATTTGGTTTTTATTATAGTTTCATAGTTTCCCTGTTGTGTAGTGTCTGTCTTGCTGTGGTTCTGCACAGTAGGACAGCAGTGAAAGCTTTCCCTATAGAGACAAAGGTGACCTCTCTCAATGCAAGAAACATACACGTTTTTTATTGAAACTGATAACTTCAGGGACTGTTGCAAACACTTTCATTATTAATGGTAAATTCATTTAGAACTGCATACAATTATCAGGTGAACTTCAAGAAAAAAAATTAATTTGGTAACCAATGTGGGAAGCCAAAAAGGCATCTACTATTTTTACACAGCAAAAATATACTGCAAGACTATTATTTAACTAGTTAGTAGTTACTAAGTTGGTTATAGGTATTATCGTGGGTACTTAGATGCTTTCTCAATTAGTGTGTTGCATTTGGAACCCCTAAGGCCCAGGAGCAGAGATCTAAGAGATTAGCCCTAGTATTTGTCATGTCTGCCTTTATAATTTAAGATTTTTGTGTTCATTGCGAAGGTCTTTGAACCCAGCGTAATCTGGATGTTTCGTGGTATCATAATATTGTAGGACAGTGTAAGCAAACTATTTGCAGGGCTCTCTTCAAAGGGAAAACGTGAGGAAATTCCACTGAGTAGATTCTACCTGGGGGTTTCTGGTGTATAAACAAAGACCCTGTGAATACAGTATGCATGGCATTGCATCATTTTCTAAATGTTCTAGGGTAATGATTTGATGTATGGATAAATGTTTGTTTCTGACTGCATCACAGAACTCAAATCCATGTTGGAGGCAGTCGATTTTCTCATATTTTCTTCATATCTATTCACCCAATCTCATAAACTCGGGACTGCTTGTATTCTTACCTATGTTAATAAGCAGAGTTACTAAAAAAAAGCTTCTAAATACACTGCATTATGGAACATTTCTTATGATGCTACAACAAAGCAAACTTGTGATAGAAAACTTTCCTTTTTCCACTCTTCCCACCTTTCCTCCAAATTTACCAATATCCATTAGTGTGCTGGCCTGAGAAGGGCAAATCCAAACTCCAAATTTAGTTTGTTCACAAAACCAACAAGTCGCTTTGTCCTGCATCTGTCATTACTAATCCATCCCTTATTTAGCTCTCCTGAACGCAGATTAAACCTGGTAACAATTTTTAATGTTCAGTGTTCCCATTCAGGAGAAAGAAGTTTGCAATTAAACCAGGCTAACTGCTCAACTTCATTGAAGGCAGGTGTGTTGACTGTCTGTTCTCTGTAGTAGTACCTGCCTTTCAAAGATGGAACACCGTGGTAAAGAAAAGAGAAATATAAGCACCAGTTCATTCTGACAGTGGTTATAAAATAAAGTTTCTTTAAAAAAGCTTTTCAGGTTTTAACTTTATGTATAACACACATTTCTGTGGCACGCTCAAGTAAAGCCTAAAATACATCTCAGTAAACCAGAATATTTGTAATTAAACCTATTTGCACATGCAGAACTTCTCAGCATAGTGTCTGTTTAATAATGCCTTTGATATTGAATGCTTTTTCTTAAAATATTTCTTATTTTAAAGCATTTGGACATTTTTATAATCATTTGAAACTGAAATCTGTTTCCTTTCCAAATATCGCATCCTTCCGTTATGTGGAAAATTTGTTAGTTGTGGTTTAGTGCTTGGCAACTGGCACTAACTTTGTTTAAATAAAAATATCACTAAAGTATTTGCTTTTAAAAATACTTATAAAAAATTAAATTATGTCTCTCTGTACACATGTAGATGAAGTCACATTTTGGGCTTTCCAAACCAACCCTGACAATATCCATATTAACTGGGAGGAGAGGAGAGCCTTCATTTACATTTTTCCTCGTCTTGCATTTCACTTTACATTGTTAAATGCTCCTTCTTTATTGCTAACCCTGAGGCTCAGCCAGGAGATATTGTTGTGCTAGGCTTTTTTTCCACACCTTCTCTCCACTTCTTCTTTGCTAGCCTTCTCCAACCAGTAACTCTGTGGCTAACTTCCTTCTGCTTTACTTCCTGGCGCCAGTCATGGCTTAGAACCCTGTAGCCTTCTGCCAGTGGCATTTGAGGGAAATGTGCACATCGATTTGACATAAGCCTTCTCCCACGAGTGATTTCCTCCCTTTCCTTTATCAACAGAAGAATGGTTTATTATTGCCAGTTTTGGCCTCCTCAGCGCCCTCACACTCTGCTACATGATCATCAAAGCTACCGCTAGCTTGAATGCTAATGAGTAAGTAAATATTTAGATATGCATCTATATATTTGGTTTTGGTGCTTGTGTCACAGGCAACACTGGGAAGAAGTGGCAGGAGGGAAGGAATGGGAGAAATGAGGTTTTTTCAAAGTGTGAGTGCCTTCTTTTTCGATGTGAAAGTCTTTACTAGAAATTGTTAATGCACATGTAGCTAGATTTGCCTGAAATAGCTCCCCACAAAGGGGCAGGGCAAAAAAAAAGGAGTGGGGTTTCAATTAGCATTTAATCAGCTGATACACTTAAATAGTAAGCGTATTCCTCTAGTCCACCGGGCCAGACTCTCCCTGATGGGGACCAGTAGTTGTTACCATCTGATGGCTTTCTGGCAGCTTCAGTCTGTTTCTCAGATTTCAGCTCACAAAACCCATTTTCACTGTTGGAACTCCTTTTCGCAGAGGAAGAGGGATATAAATGTTACATCACTAGAGGTGCTCCTTTCAGAGGATTTTGGGACTCAAGAGTAGTAATGGGAAGCTTGCACTGCTGCTTCTTGCTTTGTAGCTGTTCGGTGGATAGAACATTCCAGTCTTCAGAGCTGTCAATCCATACCTTAATAAAGAGTTGCAGTCCAAAATTAGTGTGTGAAAACATCCATACCTTCTTAATTTTGGTAGATTTTCACTATGCAAAGTCTGGTCAGAATTTGACTGTAGGCTGTGATTTTCAGTAAGCAGATCTTCCTACATTTGTGTCTAGACAAATGCTTGCTAGCTTTGGAGGTGTATTATCTGGGTAGCCTAGCAATTTGCACATTATACACAGTACTGCATATGGAAATTAGGTGTGCTTAAATATATGCAGAATTAGTTACTAAAAATCCAGGCCCATAACATTTTCCTAATCCTTGAATTTCATCATTTCACCATTTTCCACTTTATCTCTGAATGTCTCATACTAACTCAGGTTCCATTACTATGCTGATCCTCTTACTGAAAGTTGGATACGTTTCAAATGCAGTTTCTCATAGAGATTGGAAAAGATTACCTTTTATAAATATAGGGTCCGCTCTTCAGATGCAGAGATAAGAGAACAGTGTTTTTCAGCTCTTAGAGACACAGGATGGAAACAGAATTCAGTAAGACTGAAGTATGGATTGAGGCAGCAAAACAAAGATGGGGGGGAGGAAGGGTAAGAAAGAAGTGAGATGAGAGAGCTGTAGAGAAGATGCAGTTTTTAAAACAAAACCCTCATCTTCATTGCTCTCTGGAGCATTCTCTCTCAATAAAGTGAAAGCTTTTCAGTGGGTGGCCCCCAGAATAAATGAGTTAAACCACTACAGTTTAGTAAATCTTGTTTAGGAAGGGGGGATATACTGAATTCTTTGGGTCAAAAACATTGACCCTAATTTCTTCATTCAGTTATCATTGATTACAGTAAGAGTTGTAAAACTTTCACTCCTGGTCTTCCAGGTGCTAATTCCAAAGGCCTGACTGGAGAAGAGTTTAAGACTTTTTAAGTAGTCAATCCAATCTTTCAATTTTTGTTTTGTCGATATCATCAAATTGCAGCTAGTTATCAGGGAGTTGGCAAAATTAGAGATGGTGGTCTCCACAGCAGCCGACTGTTGTGAAAAATAGCCATAAAATCTGGGGGAGGGAAGTTGTTAGGAGTTCTGTACATGTGCCTGTGAAAAGGAATTTCTACATTTCTGGGCACTGCATTAGGAAGAGGATAGAGAAAACTCAGTCAATGTAACACCGTCCATCAATGTACACTGATGGAAGCAGAACCAGGTACATGTCTGGCATGTCCCCTTCAGCTCCTTATCTTGCCTTTCTGTTCATGCTCTGTTGGTTGTGGTTCTTTCTTTAGTAAGCAGCAGGAAGTATTGCATTAAATTTCACACAGACTCTCTTTATTCACAAGGAGCTACTGCATCCAGGGAATTTTTTCAGGCCAATATTTAAGGGACATAGTTCACATGACAATGATGCAGTCTTTGCCTATCAGCAACAGTGATAGAACTGAAAGCTTAGTCAATATATTAAAAACACTATTTAAAAAAAAAAAAAAAGGGGGAGGAAGAGTGAAATAGACTAGTGAAGATGGAAAGAGTACAGAAGGGGGGGGGTGTCAAAAATTTGCCCCTTTCTCTCTCCATGGAGCTTCAGTACCTGCTGCAGCCTCCAAACCTCCATGGCTTTCCCACTGGACTTCACCGGAGTCTAAGCAACCTCTAACTCTGTTGCTAAGTTAGGCTACCTGGTTTAGGCCTGTCCCCTGTGTGTGCATGCCACTATTTTTTGACTCATTGCTTCACTGCTGCCTAATGTGCAAAGTATGTCAGGCGAAAAGTTTCTCCTATGTTGGTCAATGTGCCAGATATGTCATAACTCTCTGTTGTGATTTCCTTGAAATGCCACACTATTATAGATGCAAGAAAGGAGGAAAAACGGAAAAGCTTTTTACTCCCCACTTCTCCCTATAAAAACTAATGCTGACAGTGTCCATGCAATCAGTGAACAATAACTAAACATGAACGTAGGGATTTCATTTTCCTCTTGGAAGATGACGCAAGCAGGAAGGAGTAGAAGTAGTAAACTAAGCAAGTGGAAGATGTTAGGCATTCTGTGATGGAATTCTCAGAGAGCATTTCTCAGTCAGTGAAACCCTTCCAAGGGACATTCCCTGCTGCTTGCTTCCTCTTCTGTCTCCCCCACTGTTCTAACAGGTTGATTTAAGGCATTAGTTGCTGTGTTCATGTGCACGTACAAAAGATAAATAACGACTCCAGACAACT